TTCTGTGTCCTTTGAAATACCCTATCATTCTTTGAGCACTTCCTTACTTTCTGCCACAACAAGAAGTTCGAGACTCATCTTGTCCTTTCCTTCCTCAGCTCTGGAATCATCCATTTCTGCAAGGATCCCTGTGTCTTTTTATTAGAGAATAGTATTTAGAAACCAAAATCTTGGTGCTAGATGAGTTCATTGCTACAGTAATGTTGCTGCTCCAAGGCACTTTGACTTAACAGAGCTGGAGAATATATAGATACATATTAATATACTTGTATTTTTTTCTGTATCTATTTATATGTTGAAACTATGAGTTCACAGAGATAACTCCAATTCCAAGCCACAGGAATCATTTTAGTTTTTTCTCTTTCCATATGTGTGATTTCTCTTTCTGTATTTTCATATTTTCATCCCTCAATATCTGAGAAATTAGTTCCCAGTAGCCTCAATGTATTTACTTGTTTGTGCAACTCCCCAGAGTATAACAGATTTTCTGCTGCCAACACCCTTTCCATCAAGGATGGTCGACTCACCTTGCTTAGGCTTTGACATATGGGCATCCTCCTCACCTCACCCTGCTTTGGATTTGATACTCCATTCTGGATCACACCCATGTGTGGAGACTGTCCTCATTCCATTTACCTCTGAAACCCCTTGCCTGGACATCCTTCTACAGGGATATCTTCCTCACTTTGCTCAAGCTTTGGCAATACACCATGGGCAGTCTCCCAGCAGGGACATTCTCTTCAACTATCTCGACCTCTCATTGGGCTGCCAAACTCACTCCACATTCTGCTTGTGCTCCCACATTACCTTCAGGATTCCCCTTCCTACACAGCCTCTATGCTAATGCTTATCTTGCTCAATCGCACTTAAAAGCTTGTGGGTTAGAAAGGAGAAACAATTGAAGAAAAGAAGTAAAAGAAAAAATGGTTTATTCTTAAAATTCAGGTCTAAGAAATGGCCAGCAAGCATTCTGTTTCTAGACCACTCTGCCTTTCTTATTAGATGAAGGAGAAATTATTAGAACTCTTAGAGTGTCTGAGTAACTCAATGGAACAAGCTGTCAGAATGATGGCTAAGGAACAAGAGTTCAGTGGGCGATTCCATAGTATGTTAAGAAGAATAATAGCCAGTACTATTGGGTGCTCATTTCCTAGGGACTTGTGACAATATTTAGCCATTTTCTTGATAGGTGGGCATTATTCTGACCATTTTATAATACAGGAAACTGAGGCTTGTAGAGACTCACCAACTTGCTAATGATCAATAGGAAAGGTCCAAGCCAGAGTTCCAATCCAAGTGTGACTGACTTTTATAGTTGTTGTTTCTTTTACTGCACATGATTATTAATGCTAATTTGGGAAGGAGAAGTGATATAAATAATTCAAAAATTACATTTTACTTTTATATGGATTTGTGTACAGGTGTTTCTGAAGTTCTTAATTCTTTCAACAAAGTAACAAAGTTGTTCTGGGAAAAGCAGATTCCAGAGTTGCTGGCCAACTTCCTAGTTCTTACTTAGCTCTCTGTTATGGAAAAAAAAAGATTCTGAGAAGTGCATTCAGACTGTTATATTTCAACTGCAAGGAAAGAATGATACATAAAGACAACAGGCAGAAATGGGGCCAAGGAAACAAAACTTATTTACACTGGTCCTTTAGAGCAATCTGTCTGTATGTGGATGATATTAATCCCTAACATGGAAGTGGTAGAAACAGCAGGCTAATAAATATTTGTATCATTACTTCATTTTGATTTTAAGGGCCTCCTTTTTAACTTCTGCTGAGCAGGTGACAACTGAGATAATGACAATTTCAACCAGTGTGTATGTCTGCAGTTAGATGATGGCTCCAGGGGCACTGAGAGCCTTTGTCACTGTTCCCTCTACATCTGCATAGAAGTGGAGCATTAAATTATTCTGGTGACCTGTACGTCACATAATACTGCAGACCATCTGCCAGTTGTCCCACCAGAAGCATCACAAGAGAGACAGCATCCTTCTGTTTCCAGGATCTTGCCCTAGTCTGGCGTTGTCACCTGTTGTTTATTTAGATCATTCAAATGGTATGCTTTAATCTTCTATAATACATGAAATATAGCTTTGGCTTTATGGTTTCTCTCATATAAACAACTGTAAAAAAACACATGATTTATTCAAAAAGAAATTTATAGTTGTCTTTCCCCTAATTAAACAGAACAAAACATTTGTAAATGAAAACGTGATCCTCACCCAGACTTATAAAATGAATTCTACCAGACAGTCTAGCCAACAAATTTATGACACTTTGTGGGGTCTTAAAGAATGTTTGAGACTCAGTGGCCTAGGAGAGGAGGCCTAAATGGATTCAGCTATAGGAGAAGGGAATGAAATGTAGACGTATGTTTTCAAGGTTCCTTTCCATTTGCTTGGTTCGCTTAAGCTGTCTTCTTTATTTCTGATGATGTAATGTCACTTGGCATTTATGTTAACTGTTTATGAGGTATGCATTGCTTTTGAACACCAACTCGTATGTTTTCACTCCTTGCCTGGGTTGGTGAGCAGCAAATAGCACTGCATATATGCAAATGGTGGAATTGGGTGTTTCTACATGAAGCAATGTGGAGAATTCAGCAATTGATTGGTTTTATTAAGTTAGAGAGGATGTTAATCATCTAGTAAAACAAGCCAGGGCTATTTTGGAGAAGTATTTTTAGTTTGCTGTAAAACTGTAAGTTTACAATATAGTTACAGCTTTTGTCAGAGAGCTGGACTGTACCATTAAGATGATTTAAATTTTATGCCTGAACTTCTTATTGGTAATAAATTGTTGGACTTTTTAGTGTTAAATGTAAAGAACAAGTTACTAAGATGCTTGAAGAAAATAGTTTACATGCTTTTTCAAATAGCTATATGTTGAAAACAGGTACTTACTAAGGAATTCCAATATATTCCAGAGACAGATGGATACACCACTACTAATTTATTTATTTTTTTTAAAGAAGATTTTGGTCACATTTTTGCTATATAGTCTAGCAAATTAATTTGTATTCTAAACAACAGGATGGAATGTTGAGTAAAACTGAAACAATGAAGAAGTAGAATTTTAGAATATTTTAGGAAGAAGGACAATACAGGAAAGAAGTAATTATTACATTATATGCAATTATATTCTTAAGTGAATTATAGAGATTCTATTATTATTGGTGTTAATGGTACATTGGTTTAAATATAAAATATATTACCATATTGTACTATCTAGTATAATGCTGGACACAAACAGAAGTTTAATGTTTCTTGAGTTTTAATATATGTTTTAGCCATTAATTAACTCTTTAGACAGCCCAATAAGGATCGAAACTTAAAAATATATTCTAGAAGCTTGCTCATTGTCAATAAGAATTTACTTTTAAATGTTATGAGCATGTTTGCAATCTCAAAGTATTTTTTTTTTTTTTTTGAGGCGGAGTTTCGCTCTTGTTACCCAGGCTGGAGTGCAATGGCGCGATCTCGGCTCACCGCAACCTCCGCCTCCTGGGTTCAGGCAATTCTCCTGCCTCAGCCTCCTGAGTAGCTGGGATTACAGGCACACGCCACCATGCCCAGCTAATTTTTTGTATTTTTTAGTAGAGACGGGGTTTCACCATGTTGACCAGGATGGTCTCGATCTCTTGACCTCGTGATCCACCCGCCTCGGCCTCCCAAAGTGCTGGGATTACAGGCGTGAGCCACCGCGCCCGGCCAATCTCAAAGTATTTTTAAGCATAAAGACAGAGGACCTACATTACAAGCAGGAAGTAAAAGTTAATATGGCTCTGAAGAAATAAAAATATTTTGTAAATATTAAGACAATTCTTTACAGAAAAGGCAAGTCTTCCAAGTATACAAATAGGTTGCCAAACAGAAGTTTAAACTTAAAATACAAATATGATAGTATAACCAGAGAAACCATCTAATCTAACATATGAGTATTATAATTTCAGGAAAAAAAGCCTGCAGAAAAGGGAAAACTGTTAGTTACTGGGCCAGGGAGCTCTGTACCCAGGGCTTGAACTTCAGAGTCACCAGCAAGACATGAATTGTTGCCTGGCTGTTTGTCCTAGCATCTAATTCTTCAGGGTCCGCCAGTGGACAGACTGATTAGCTTATGTTGTGAGTTAATGACTAAGAATTCATGTTGTGTGGAAAGGAAAACAATAGCAACAATGACAATTAAATAACACTCAAGGCAATTCATCAGTGTTCCACTAGCTCCTTGCAGGAATGCTCCAGTCTGTTGGCCAGGAAAAGATTTTTATTGCCTCCTCTCTGTATTTTTCTTTGGTTCCTAACCAACCAAACTGCTGTGTGTGTGTTTCACCTTTGCATAAAAAACAGAGAATGCAGGATAGCCATCTATCCTAAGTGTTTTAAATAAACACTTATGGATTTAGGGGAAAACAAGCCCACCTTTCTTGCTTTATGAGAGGTGGAACTTTTTAGAATTTTCTCTACTTTGCCTCTGAAGAAAAGCTAAAAGAAAGAAAGGAATCTTTTGGAGCGTGAGATAACTGAGTTCATTTGTTATGGTCTTTATGATAAGCTTTGCTGGTTTTGACCTGTCAAAGGACAGAAAATGGAAGTACTAAGCAGTAGAGGGTTGGGGACAGTTTATAACCATTTCCTAGTGATACAAGAGCTAATTGCAAAGAGGATGAACAGAACTTATTAAGGCTGAGATAAGTGTTTAGTAACTAAACAGCCACACACACATTTTACTCTATTTATGCAACGAGGAACTGTATGTACTCCCACATGGTAGGGGAAGATAACTCACTTGTGAGTGTTTATTATGTGCCATCTACTATGGTGGACATTTAACTTAAAATATTCTGTAACTCTAAAATACCCATTAAATTATCACAACGGGTTACTTATTGAATATTGTAAGTGTTAGATACAGTGAACTCCCAGTTTCTCTTCAAAGAATCAGTATGTCAGTATGTTCAGTTCTTTGTTTTCCATTTTAAAGCTTAACTTCCTTGTAGTTTCAGAAAACAACCTTTTCTACCAGTTCTAATCAATAGTTCACATTTGTTCCCCTGGTCTCCTGCTCTGTCCTGAGTCATCCCAGTCACCTGCTCTGGTCACTTGCTTTGACCTAGGTCACCCCTGGCTACCTGCTCTGGCCTGTCCTGTAATTGTCCTTGCCACCAAACTACCCACCCCACCACTCTGGCTCATACCCCTGCTCCCATTAAAACAGCCAATTGGAATTAGACTAGACTGTGTGGTCTAACCTTAGCCAATAGGGGAACGACACAGCAGTAGGGGCTACCTCTGTTAGGAATAAGAACCCCTTCCCTTCACTTGTCCAGAAGTGCACTCATCATTATTCCATCTGTGATCTGCATCCTTCTATAGAAGTAAATTGTTTTGCTGAGGAAATTTATATTCAAGTGCTATTTTTCTTTTGCGGCACTGAAAGTTTATATATAACACAAGGTTGATGTGAAAATTAAATGAGATTAAATGTCATATTGATAAAAATCTCATATTAAATTAAATGAGATTAAATGTCATATTGATAAAAATCTCATATTAAATTAAATGAGATTAAATGGCTAGTATCTGGAACATTAAATTTTCACAATGACCCTGCAAGTCTCAATAAAGGTAAAGTGACCCAGCCAACGTCACACAGCTAGAAAGTAACAGAGATGATGTTCTAATCTGGAAGTGACTGCACAGCCCTCACTTCTGTCACCATACTGTATAACTATAAAACAGGATCTGTGATAAATAATTGTCTGCTACACATGTGATAGGAGAAATCTTGGGCCAGAAATTCCAAGCAAAAGTGTATTATTGTTAAACAAAATCTATTTCAAAAATAATTTATTTTTATGCCTCTTCTACTCTTAAAGTACAATATTTTGCAATGTCCTCTTTATGAGCTGAGTGCTGCTGGCAAGCTGTTTTTCTACTGACAATGTATTTCTAAATCAATCTACAAATATTAAGTTTGAAGAAATTTGATATCCCAAACTTTGTATAGAGAAATGAATGTAAAACTTATTTGGGAATTTTAAGATCTGGCAATAATAATTTAGTTTCTCTAAGGCTTTACGTGCAGAATACTTTAAATAGTCTCTTGATCTGATAGAATGATATGCTACACAGGCAAAAATGTAAGTGGAATATAATATTTATAGAGATGTCAGGGCTGTGGTTTTTAGTCCTAATATTTATTCATTATACATTTTGATACAAACATTAGGGTAAGTGCACCAATATCAGTGGAAATTGTGAAGAGCTTAAGAATGAAAATATTTAGACAAAGGGATAGAAGGTTAAGAAGTTGAATTCTAACAATGTTGGAATAGAAAGAATTTTTATCAGAGGAGTGGGATACTACAGGGATTAAACTATTAGTGTAGAAATAATTATATTGAATTAAATTTTCAAATTAAATATAATTATTTTATTATCATTGGTATTTATATTACTATTACAAAGAGGTAGAGCCTCTCCAAATGATCAAAGATAGTCTGCACAATTCTCCCAGTTATTCAGAAGAAAAGATGAAAAGGATCACACTATGACACCAAATGTTAAATTTTAAGGACCAATTTTAAAAAGTGTGTGTGTGTGTGTGTGTGTGTGTGTGTGTGTGTGAGAGAGAGAGAGAGAGAGAAAGAGAGAGAGAGAGGGAGAGAGAGAGAGAGGTAGAGAGAGACAGGAGCAGGTGAAGGAATGAAGTAGAAAGAAAGAAAGCACAAAAGTTCAAATGAACTCCCTTGATTACATCTTGCTTTAGAGAACTAAGCATCAAACAATTGCTTGGGTCAAAAGCAATTGACAAGTGTCCGACTAGTGTCTTTGGTTTTAGCATTGTCAGTAATAATATAGTGCTCCATAATTAGTTCTTGATTTAATTATTATTTACCTTTGCCTATGCTAAACAGAATTTGCCAAATTGCCACTTATTCTAGGGTCTTAAATTCTTTGCATTAAATTCTTCCATTAAATACACATTCCACTAATAACATGTAAAAGGATCTGCAAGGAAATCTCCCAAGTTTTCTATCTTTACGTTATTAGGGAAAACACGGAACTTCTTTGTATTTGTGACTAGAAACAAAACAAAAAATATAACTGTTATATCTTAATTACTTTTGGGGTATAAAAGTGGGAAAGAAGAGGGAGCTTTAAGTGAATTCAAGGGAAAAGCAAGAAATTACCTATTTTTAGGAAAAAACTTTAAAAGATTATTAAAATAATTCACACAGTTTCTGAAATGCTTCTATGGACATCAGTAGTTCTTACAAAACAAAATTTTGATTATTTGCATATATATAAATCAGAAACACATGTTAAATTTCACATAAAATACACAGGACTTTAAAAAATTAAATGTAAAAAAGTGGTTCGCAAAATTTATTTGGTGTTTGGTAAAATGCAAAATGTGTTTTGGGTTTGGTGGAGCCACAGATGTTTGAAAAATACCTTGGAATGATCATCAAGCCCATAGTGTTCCTAAGCTAGCCCATCCTCTAGAAACTTTTTATTGTGATGATGTCTGATGATTGATCATATTTTTAACTAAAGAAAAATATCCACTTAGGAGAAATTCAAGGAAGATCAAATTTTCTTTTTCCAGTGAATTGCTAGAATTTGAAAAGCCAATAATTTAACACGTATGTTGTTTTCTTGTTTTTAACGATCTGCAGAAGCACTATTATTACAATTGCTATAATATTCAAAAATTGGCCTCTACTTTCATAGTACATGTTTCTTTTTAAAGTCTGAAGAAAGCTGAAGAGTTCATCTCATCTATCTCATGACATTTCTCCTTCTCTCCTTTCTCCCTTTTGCTTTCCTTCTTTTGTATTTCTCAATGATAGTATCCTTGCTTGCATGGTGGAAATTGCAATGTGGACAAATGTCAGCCCTAGTCCTCTTTCATTCTGGCAAATGTATTCCTCCCCTCATAATTCTCAGCTTCTCTACAGGTGTCTAGTGTTTTGTGGCTGCCCCTACTCTTTGCAGTCTCAGCCACACAGACCTATGAAAAGTACTATTCTGGAGTCCCCACACCATCCTCTTATTAAAGTTTACATTGTGGAGATAGGTGCTGAAAACGTTTTGTATTATTTAATTACAGTTGCTTACATGACTTTGTTGAAGAATAAAAATGACATTAGACTTTAGTTGGAGAGTTTCTAGTAAATGTTTCTTATGGCAACAGGATTTCATTCAAGCTCATTAAAACAGAAAGATGTGGTGAAAGATCATGGTACCCAAGGATCAGGTAGTAAGATCTAGAACCAGGTGTCACAATACCAACAGGCTCTTTCGGTGTCTCTCATCAACTACTCTGGTTGAGTCTGTACAATTTTTTTTTGTTTTTTTTTAGACAGAGTCTCACTCCATTGCCAAGGCTGGAGTGCAGTGGCATGATCTTGGCTCACTGCAACCTCTGCCTCCCAGGTTCAAGTGATTCTCCTACTTCAGCTTTCTGAGTAGCTGAGCTGGGACTGCCGGCATATGCCACCACACCCAGCAAATTTTTGTATTTTTAGTAGAGACAGGGTTTCACCATATTGGCCAGGCTGATCTCAAACTTCTGACCTCAGGTGATCTAGCTTCCTTGGCCTCCCAAGTTGTTGGGATTACAGGTGTGAGCCACCGTGGCCCGCCGAATCTGTATAATTTTTGTAAGTTTCTTCTTGCAAGAAATAGGCTTATTCTGCTTCTTTGCTCTACACAGAAGAAAATGGCCTCATGTAGTTTCTGACTTTACTTGTAACAAGTCCATCCACCAGAAGATAGACTCAATTTTTCTTCTATTTCAAATTCTAAAATTTAAGTCAGAATTCTTACTGGCCCAGCTTGGTTAAAGCACTCACTTTTACACCAGTCAGTTGTGGCCAGGGGATTGGAATTACACTCTACAATCATGACTGCCACTGGCAGCCCTTCTTTTAACCACATGAGTGGGGTTTGTGTGTATGTGAGGAAGGATGGTGCTCAAATAATGAGGGGCTGGAAGGGTAACTCAATAGACACACACTGTGAAAGTTGCGCACATTTGTCTTAAATTTCTTGTTGAAGAAAACAAGGTTATTCTTTATTTATATTTTATTTACTTGAAAGAATAGATTTCAAATGTAGATTTTTAATAGGCATTGCAACAGGATAGTAGGAGATGGGTGAAGAGGCAGGACATGTTCCCTGCAGCTTTCATATTATATTTGCAGACAATTACGTGGTCTACTAAAAATTATTTGTTAAAATTTTGTGCTCGTTTAAATTTTCTGTGTTGGAAAAAAAGTTTCAGGAATATTCTGATACTCTCATTAAAGATAGGGCATTTATTATTCATTCTGTTACTTGAATAAAAAGTTATTGAATACCTAGACAGTGTACTAGATAAAGACACATAGAGATGCTGAAGACAGACTTTCCCTGAGGGAGCCCATAGTTAATTTTGGAAGACTAATGTTAAAAATATTATCCTGCATAGTGTTAAGTACAATAATAGAAGTATTTACTAGGAACAATGGTGGCACAAAAGATGAAAAAATGAAATGGTTGTCTGTGGATGAGGGAAGTCACACAGAATGAAAAAGCCTTGCCAGGAAGAGAGAAGAAACAGGACTCTAGGCAAGAGAAATTTGATCATAGGCATGGATTTATAAGACAACAAAGCTGTGAAGAGGCCTCAGACAAAAGCCTGAGTCTAAGGAGGTAGAAGTATTTCATAACTGTTCTCTCTCTTTCCCCTATTAACTTAGCTCAATTAATATTACTGCCTCTATATCCTTGCAAGCTGATTACATTTGGAATCTCCAATGCTGCACAGAAATTGTGCCCTTTTTTTCCTTTTCTTTTCTTCTCCCCTCCCTCCTTCTCTCCCTCCCTTCTTTCCTTTTCTTCCCTCCCTCCCTCCCTCCCTCCCTCCCTTCCTTCCTTCCTTCCTTCCCTCCCTCCCTCCTTCCTTCCCTCCTTCCTTCCTTTCCCTCCCTTTCTCTCTTCCTTTTCCTCCCTTTCTCCCTTCCTTTCTTTTTCTTTCTTTTTGAGGTGGAGTCTGGCTCTGTCTCCCAAGCTGGATTCAAGTGATTCTCCTACCTCCTGGACTGCCTCCTGGGTTCAAGCGGTTCTCCTACCTCAGCCTCCCGAGTAGCTATGATTACAGGCATGTGTGCCACCACATCAGGCTAATTTTTGTAGTTTTAGTAAAGATGAGGTTTCGCTATGTTGGCCAGGCTTGTCTCGAACTCCTGATCTCAGGTGATCTGCTCGCCTCGGCCTCTCAAAGTGCTGGGATTACAG